TGCCGTTTCAGTGATGTATAATTTGGAATTTAAATTTGCACACGGCGTTTTGCCACCACGTACCGAATGGCTGATCAAATGCAATCATTTCATTGGTTCGTCTTCTCGTTTTAATAAGTGCGGGTTATTTGAATTACGGGCGTTTTCCGATTCAAACAAAAACTCCAGGATTTTTAAATGAGGGAAAATGTTATGGAAATTTACTTAAAAGGTTTCTGAAAAATCCCAAAATTGTTGAATTTTCGAGATGCAGACCATATTACAGAAAAATTTGAAAATGCAGGGAGTTAGGAAGTTTAAAGGGGCTCAGTCACGGTATTTTGAGTTATTTTGGCCACATACAAAATTACCGTAAATGGTAGGAAACCTGAAAATAACAGTTTAATAAGATACAAAAACACTAAAGAGATAATGATGAACCATAAAGGAACAAGGATGGTTAAGGATGGAGAAGATTAACACGGATTATAAACGACGACTTTGAAAAATTGAGGCTAAACTTTTCAATATGCGCAAACCGTGAGTGAGCTCCTTTAAGCAAACAACGACGACGACGGTTACGAGAACGTCACTAAACAAAAAGTTTAATGAGCTAAGCAAAAGCTGTGCACGTGCGTTATAAATCTTTGCACATTTCTTTGCCGTCCTCTGCAAAACAACAGGGAAGTTAATTTAAGAAAAGCACTACGGCAGTGGCAACGGCAACGTTGCTAAAGAAAAGGTTTAGTGAGCAGAACAATAGCTGTGCACGTGAAATGTCCAAAATCTGCGTTGTCTTGAGAACGCGAACCACGAAGACTAAATTCTTAAATTTTTATTTCAAATTTATCGCTGTGTCCCTGGTTCAGTTTCGTGATAGCTTTACAGTGATAAACAAAGTAAATGACTTAAGAGCACCGTGAAATTCGTAAGTAAAATATGAAATCATTCCGTAACAACGTGTAATGACAAAGTTTTGCGTTGTCTGAGGAACGCGAACGATGACGGCTAGTTTTTCGTATTTCCATTTGGAATTGAATGTTGTCACTGCATATTTAGTCTGAACACGTTTTTAGAGCCATTGGCGTTATGAACAGAGCTAGACAATTTCGAATTTCGCTGCGGGTTAAATATAAACCGTCGTCTTTGCTTAATCTCCCTAATAATAATGAAATAAAACGGAAATTTTCGAGAACATTTTTTTTTTTTTGGAAATTCCGGATTACGCTGACCAATTCTGCACTGGAAATTTCTGGAAGTTCAAACCAGAATTTTTGGTCATATGGAAAAGCGCTTTTAATTAATTATGACTGTTGGACTGCAATGAGGAAAATATTCTCTATTAAAATGTGCAATTCAATTCAGTCACCTTTCCCAGTGCACACGCCTATATAATATTTACATGTCACCTTCAAAGGATGAAAATTTATTTGCAATAACTATGGCAGATTAGTTTGCAGTAAGCTCGCGTCTATCAAATAAGTGTTTTATTGTCAGAACTGCGGTTTGCTGACATATACATATTTCGATCCCATTTTCTTTCCTTTCCTGATGCATTTAATTATTGCAACAATGCAATATTAATACGATTAAGTTTGGAAATACAGCTGACTACGTTTCGGTGTCATCTTGGCACCATTTTCAAGTGAGGAATGCAGCTGAAGAGATCATTTATACTAATTTATGATTTACATGAAGTTGTACTAAAATCTTTTCCGCTGCATTCTCCACTTGATAATCGTGACAAGATGACACCGAAACGTAATGCAATATTGAGATACGTTTATAAAAATAACATACGTTATTTGCACAAGCTATCGAAGGCAGAGTTAGGGCCTCTTCATATGAGCCCGGTCAACCGGGCTGGCTCGGTTTCCGAGATTTCGCCTCGCTTCTCTTTCCTTCGTAAAAATTTCGATGTGTTCATATGAGAAGCCAGGCTAGCCCGGTTACCGAGATCTCGGGTTTTGCGACCGAGATGTCGGTAACCGGGATGAAAATTTTCCCATATGAACACTCCAGCCCGGGTAACCGGGACGCAACTTTTTAGACGAAATAGCTTCGCTTTCGCAACATAGCGGCCAAAATGGCATAATTTTTGCCTTGTATACATATGTATTTCCACTTTAGGAGTAGGCGAATTAGCTTTATTAGTAAAGTTACAAGAGTCCATAAAGCTGTGACAGCCACGAACGATACAAGTTTATGTTCCACCATTTTGGCTGTGTTTCCTAGATTTTATCCCGGTAGACCGGGCTGAAATTTCCCATATGATCAGACAACAAAATTCGTCCCGGTAACCGAGCCAGCCCGGTTACCGGGCTCATATGAAGAGACCCTCAATAGTTTTGTTAAGCCCAGTTTTAACGTCACATTCCAGTTGGGCCGAATGTAAATTCAAGACCCGAAGACTTCCCTAAAATGGCTTTAAACCACTACAATGTCCGCATAAATAGAAAAGTGGAACACTTTGGTCCCATGAACTCAGTACAAGGAGTTCGAATCAACTTTTCTGCACCAGGAAGGTTTCTGCGACTTGGATACACCTCTAATATGGGATAGAGTTAACCCCCGCCCCCCTCCAGTCTCTTAAGATAACCTTTACGAACAAGTTCCATCAACAAAGTCAATAACTTGAAGAGAATAGTAGCTTGTCGAGTTATCGGGAGACGAGAGTTGAAGCCCGGTGGTCCCGAACTTAAGTCCAGTCCAAATCTGAACTCTATATTTAAGCTGTAGCCATCTGGACTGTTTCCTACCAGTTGACATTCTAAACCACCATCCGTTTATTTGAGATAATTCTTTCACTGTTTACACTGGCTTTAAAAACCCTCCATTGGGGAATAGTCAATTAAGATGTTAATTGCTAGGGGCCAAGGGGGGATTTTGACGTGATAGCACAGACGCCTACATCCTTCGCCAGATCTAGGGTTCCAGATTCTTACTCAATTTTTCAGTGAAAATTCTTGACCCATTGGAAATCGGTTTTCATTCAAGCACGGTTTTTGCGTCATGATAAACAGAATTAAAATTTTCCTTCGAACTTGTTTCAGTCTTGGATCTACGCGACATTAGAATTTCACAGCTGACCAGTCGGCTTCAGGAAAGAAACATTGTCAGAGATAACACTCTCTCGAAACGCGGATGTAACGTCAAGTCGGAGCCAATCACTAGCCAGATCTGAACGACATACTGTAGTCAATGTGATTGACAGACGCTAAAAGCCGAATTGATGGTTGAGCGCTGTAAGTGAATGTATGGTTACACAATGCGGCAGCTTTCTTCTGAACTGTCATAGAGCGTTACTTCGCACGCAATTCAACTCCCTACTTTAGAATGGTTAATAGATGCTTTTTGAATTCTGTGCTTTAAAACAGCAGGTATTCACTTGAGATCGCGGTTTCCAGTAACCTTAACAGCTAAGCAAAGTTGAAATGTCTAAAACTCCGCATGCCTTTTCTAATTTTTGATGCAGTAGTCTAGCCACCTGTTCTCTTGAATTGTCGCTTCAAGTCACATTTATTATTCAATACTGGCAGGTATTTTTACGGGGCAACAAGCTGGAATTAAAGCTTTTAATAAATTCCGGTCACATCAATACGAAGTTTGTCACTGCTCCAAAAAATTTCCCCTTAATTCTGAATCATGAAATCGGAGAATTACTGACTATTGTGGAAAGGGATATTTAGTTAGTGGTGTTGAGCAGAAAGTAACGGAACGTGTGATAAACATGGTGGAAGTAGTCAATACGTCCCTTGGTTTAAAGGTAAGCCATCCGAATTTTGTATTGAGTAACCAAATTAAAGACTTCCTTAGATGTAAATAGTCCGTTTCTTTCTTCCTGTTTTTCGAGAGCTAATGGATAGAAGCTTCCACTGAACAGTAGTTTCTTTGAGAAGTTTTCATTGTGTGGTAGCAATGTCTGTGAAATGAAGTGACCCGGGTTGCGTTTAATACACCTTCTCGCAGCATGAAATTCCGTATGAAAATTTTACATTCATGCAAGAGGAAATTCGGGCCGCATAATTAACATATAGTTGCAACTGCCAAAAGCTTGGTGGTGTTTCTATCAAGATAAAGCAAGATTGAAAATCGAACCTCGATTATTACGAACATCGTTTATAAAAGTATATGTAGTCTTCCTTAAAGGAAGTCTTTTCCATGTCTTTAAATATTGGCCTGCCTGACGCAAAACAGCCTGACTTTCGAGCTGCAAAGTATTAGCTTGAGAAGCCTTTGTTTATTTCTAAAATTAAAGGGCCGCAAAAATTCACACTTGGGATTAACGCTTTTTTGAATTAAATGATACTAAAAGCAGTACTTAAGATAAAAGCAGCAGTTTTAGAAGATATAATCGCTTATAGGCGAATATGTTGCCGTATAATGATAGTTGCCATGGGAACTAAACTAGGGCCAGTTGCGCTCTTCTGCGCATGTGCGGCGATGTGATTCTGTACCGATGGCCCGATTTTCAAAGCCGACTGCGGTAAGAAAGTCTTGTTTTGAACAACAGTTGATCTTTTAGCAACTCTGAAAGCTTTAGTTAAGGTTTTGAGGAAATTATTTGTCATTTACACAAGGTTTTCAGAGCATATTTTGTATTTTTGTGCGAAAATGGTAGAGAAATTTGAAGTCCTCGAGAGAGCGCGGGACAGTGAGGTTTTCTAGCAGTCAATATTATTATTAAGCCGATGAGAAAATCGCTAATTATCCCGAAAGGCTAGTGACATCTACTGAGTCTTACGATTTCTATTATTTGGCTAAAAACCTTCCAGTTGACCTACCACAGTTAATAGAAGTCCTGCACGGACATTAACACGGCTTAGTTTCTCAAAGAGGTTTGCAAACAGTTTCCAGCACTTTCCCAACAGCTATACTTCGATGGATGAATACTACCACTAGTTATCAAGTTATGCTAATTTTCGAAAATTTAAGAAGGATCTGAAGCCTCTAGACATATATTTTTTTAACTTTACCAAAAATTGCATTTTATCATGCTTATCACAATTTAATAATTAAAAAATGGAGGTAACCGAGGGCGTCTTTGAGTTAAAAGCACTTAAAGCTAAAATTACGGGTGCTGTTAACAGGTTACTTTGGTAACCTGTTATAATAAAGGATGAACTCAACTTGCTTACCAATGATTAGGAATTTGTGTGATACCATTACCGTAGGAATACCATTACTGCTGGACTAGAGCTTGAAGCTTTTATCAGCCTCCTTAAACGGATTGACAAATTTGAGTTTGATGTAAGAATATATATCATTTTTTCTCAAACTAATTTAAGTTCTTGACGCCATTTCTACGCCAGCTATCACATCTGAAAAAAGAAAGCTGCAAATGTTGATTAATTTACTAAAAGAAATCTTGAGTATATTATCTTGATGCTTTTGCATAGTTTGAGTGAAATAAAAATCAAAGGACTGATTTACCTACATGGATAAATACTTGATTTGTGGTAACGCTTAATTCTCGTCGAACTTAAAAGACTTTTTTTATTTATAAAATCGTGCGTTTAAAAGGAAAAAAATGTTTGTTGTTGAAGGTGGCCGAAGATACATTTGCTTATCTATTTTTCTTTAATTCTAATTCTGAACTCTGTACAGATGATTTTGCAGCGGAAATGAAACATTGTCCAATCTTCCTGAAATGAACCCAACACATTTTGAGGCCCCAATATAAATTCATTTGTCTATGAAAGCAGATTATCAGTAAGATGCTACTGATAAACAAGCATATTCAAATTAAATTCCCTGAAAACTTCATTTGATGTGAAAACTGGCCACTAAGCAATAATATGGCAAGAGATCCTAAATCCCGATGTTTGAAACTTTTAAGTGATAATTTCCGGGTGGTATGTTGCCAAACTGATATCAAGTTACCTACAAAGATACCAAACTTGACTAAAACGATTCAGTGGTTTTATTAAAATTTTCTAATAGGTCTCTTTCCGAGTTAATTTCGGTAAAAATGGCTGACCAATCCCTTTAGCCAAATGAACCGGAAACTCTTTATCTTAATAGCACGACCTAACAGCTACCAACCTTTCAAAGCGTTTGCTAGTAATGGTGAAACTTTAACCAAATTAAAGTCGTATCTTTGTTACTCTCACTTCGTTTCAAATTTTCAAAACACACTGCTAGCGTGACTTTGTGAAAACCGATTTCTTTTCGGCTTTTTATTTCCATTCAATCCACAACTCGTTTTCTTTTTAAATCATATTTTATTCTAGAGTAGGGAAAGGCATTCGTTAAATTTCAGTTTAAAAAGAAGTCGATTAACATTGTGGCAAAATCGCAGTGTATACATTAAATTGCCCGCACGCCAACAAGAAAACCGTTATAAAATTACGAAGGCGACCCGTTGGCTCTAAATAAGTTTAAAAGCGACTTATGACAAGAAGAAAATGTTGTAAGCATAGAACGAAAAGTTACTGAAGTCCAACCTTTTCACATAGAGTGCGACACTCAATGAAAACAAAATGAAAACAACTTTTCAGATGTTCAATACCTATTCCAGAAAAAGAGCGATAACACTTTTGAAATCCACTGTTGGAAAAAAGATGGCGGATGTACATTTTACCGCAATACCTCACGGACGTAAAACAGTTTGAAGGTCTTAGAGCTCTCCTGTTCGTGTTTATGAGCATTGTCAGTGTTTTTTTGCGCTGTGAACTACGGGTAAATGTACCAGTCGCCACGTTTTTCCTATACGAAGGATTGAATTAGTCAGTTCTGAAGAATACTTTTGCCTTTACAAAGAGTCGCAAAGTACTCGTCTTATGAAATACATGCTGCCAAATTCGTCTTGAAAAAAGAGTTTAAAATTTACACAGACGAACTTAAGAATATCTCTGGCGATGTTCCAAATAACTCTCTCGATGGCTTCATTATTAATGTCCCAACATCTAGCGAAGTTCGCAGTTTAATATGTGCTATACAGAGCATTAATTATGAAAGAAATAAGTCATATTTCGTACATGTTTCTTTCGAAGGTATAGAAACACTTGTGAACCTTTGGAAAACTTGAAAGTGAAGAACCTGTGGCCTGCCGCTGTCGCTCTCACAGTTGTCGATCTTAGTCTCCCAAAGTTACACACGTGTTTGTATAACTCGATAGAAACATGGAAATTGTTTTCTCTCTATGTCATGCCTAAAGCACACAAAGCTCACAGATTTTTTTTTCTTTTAATAGAATTCCCCTTGCCAGGTTTAAACAATCAAAACTTTGTTTGCGTACCAACCGGCCCCGTAAGAATGGGTTAAAGACGACCTCCTCAAAAATGTCTTAACGACGGCTTGCAAAGCCCTTTACAAGCAACTTGAGTTCACGATGGGCATTAAAAACAACACACTTTAATGGAACCTTCTTGAATTGCTACTGTTAACAGCTGATGTCAGGCTTGGTGTTTTGGGAAGTTATGCATCGATGTCAAAAGTTGAATAAGCACAGGGGGGTTTTACTTAGAATTTCGGGGTGATATTTATTCTGAAAAGTCAACAAACTTTGTCATATATAACGCACTGTGGCACTCAGGCAGATGTTCCCCTTAACTTCATTCAAGCTGGTTGCACAGCTCTTAAATCACCGATTAAAAAATGTGAGAAGTTTTTGAACAAGAATGCTGTTAGTTTTTCTTTGTCCTGTTGGAGTCGTTCATTCTGCTCGGACAGGTCCTATTTGTTTCTTTATTTGCCTCTGCTCAATAGCAATCTAATTTACAAAGAAAAAGCTCATCTGCATACATTCGTCATAATTTTACTAAGGTGACGACTTTGCGGAATAATTGTGTGACGCTTAATGGGCAACATCATGAGAACGTGCTAGGCGAATCTAGTTCGCATTATTGTAGGCGATCTAAAACATTCAACTCCAAGAAAAGGAAAGCGCTCAAACAAATTGGTCTGTAAGAGATCGAGGCCTCGGAGAACGAAATTCTTAACTGTTCTAAAAGAAACGTTAAAGATCTCATTTATACCATGACACCTGCGGAGCGAACATCGGGAGAGTTCACACAAGTAGATTTTTCATAAACGCCGTTGATTTTTGGAATGACGAGAGACACTTCAACATCTCCAATATGGTCCAGAAAATTTCACAGCTGGTAAATCTACGGGTATATTTCTTAACATCGCTATTTTTCGCTAACCTCGCTCAATTCAAAGCGAATTTGTTTACTTACAGTATTACGTTGAGTTGGTTTAATTTGCGATTTTCCCTGTACAGGTCTTTGCCGCGTTTATCTTTGCCATATTCCATTTGACCGATTCGCTCTACATTGCGGGTAAGTGCAAAGTTATTTTCCTTATGGAGGGTACGGGCAGATCAACATGTGATCCGCAAATCCTTGGAAGGAACATAAGTTTTATAAACCAAGTCATTAACTTGGTAAAACTAAGCTCTTTCCTGAATAATTTATTATTTGCTCGAAAGTAGAACTCTCTTTAAAATTTTTCCAGTGAAGAGTTTTGGTAAAAGCCATTCCGTGTTAACACAAAAAATACATTGTAAATTTTAGGTTAAAATTTTTATTTATGCGATTATCCTTTCATAAGTAACACTGCCTTTCAAGTCATTAATTATAGATAATAGTCTTCCCACCAAACAAGTACAGTTATATTCATGGTGACCTCCTAGGCACGTTTTCTTATTTAAACGGAAAATGTTTGTATCTACCAAATGCATATCTGAAAATAATTTTTTGCAGAAGTTAATTTTTACTCGATCTTTCGTTTTTCATGAATGAAATTTCGAAAACAAAAAACGGAAAGTGAAATATTGTTGTTTATCAATATTATTTTTTTACACAGTCATGTTGCGTGAGTTTTTCGTTTGTGATGTTGGATGTTGTGTCGTTGGATACTGGCTTATTCCACGGCCGGTGAATATTGTTATCTCACTCGGTGATGAAGTTAGTTTAATTTGCTGAATATTCGCTGGTTCGCAAACTAAACGCTGGAGAATTTCCAAGTGCTAAGAATGTTGGATATTCTAATTAAAACGTCCAATATTCATCTAGGTAAATAGTGGCAGGTTGCCGTTTTCAAGTGACACTGGACAAACCCCAGAGCCTCGAAAATTAATATCAGTCAATAAGGCGCTTTTTGTTTTGACATTTTTAAATTCAGTTCATAAAAACAAGATCAAACTTCTCACTTTTGCTTGAACGTGTTTAGAAAATTATGTTCCAAATGAAGGTGTCGAGAGTGAAAACAAAATTTAGCAGCCGTGAAATCTCTTAAACTGACGCGAGAAAAAGATTTATTAAGGCCACGGTTCCAAATAAAATTAACATAAGCTAGTCTATAAAAATATATCAAGCGATTCTGATATTTCCAAGAATATATCATCTATATATCAACTATTTTTTCGAATTAGAAATTGTATCTCATGTCTAATGTCTGGTACGTGATCCTGGATAAAAAGGCACAAAATGTTTAGATCACAAGCTAGTTGTTCCATTCAATATTTCGTCACTGGATTTATTAACAAACGGATTGATCAAAAACAGGACATTTGTGTCAGGTCCTGTCCTTGAAGACAAGAGCCTTCAAATCCCGCGGTCAAACATTTTTTGTCTAGGAGATCTTGAGCAATTGTCACCCTGTCAGGGATCGCGTTAATTCAAATATCGAAAGAAGTTCTTATTGCCGAATATATGTGATCGAGACTTTAGGTTACCTTTTCGAACACGGAATTTATTTATATCATTGTTCCTCACTCAAGCCGAAGTATTAGCAAAACCAAATTTGAATACGTGAATTGCCCAAGATCTGCAAGACTAGCCTCGTCCATGCATAATATTAGTACTTCTCTGTGGGCTTGCTTATGAAATACATGTAATTTTAGATCTTTCAACTTCATTGATCAGGTTTATACTAGAGAAAATTTCGCTGGATTCATTCCATGTTTCCAAATTAACCGAAGCTATTCAAATTCGTATGGGCTTACACTAGTAAAGTAAGTAAGTAAAATCCTTTATTTAAAACACGATTATCGTTTACACTAAAAGGGTACAGTATTTGGATTCCCAGCCGTTTCACATGTCGATGATTTAATCCGAGGACACTTATAAAAATACTACCAGAGTTTTACTTTGCGAAACCTCGCAAAATTTTACAGTGTTCGGACAAAAGTAGTCGCTTTCCATTACGGAATTAATAAGATTTATTTCAGATAAGATCATCCGGTCCCAAAACATCTCCGATTGGTCACGAATACAGAAAAATACCCTCCAGTGTAGACTTAATAAAAAAAAGACCCTTTAGGATTAAGTATTGGCGCACAGTTTAATTTGTGGTTATTAGGTCCCGTCCACTATAGCGTGTTTTCGTTTGAAAACGTATACTTTTTGATGCTTTCTCGCCTATAAGCGTGCACACAAAGACGATTGAAAAAGCTCGTAGCGTTAATCGAGAAGGGGTTCATTTGAAAACCCTGTTCATAATGGAAACATTTGAAAATGAAGCCTTTATACCGTATTATAATTAGAGTGGAAAACGAAAACAAAGACTTCAGATAACTTTGACCTTATAGGAGAATCTTTGTTTACAATATTTGCCTCATTACCATAAGCGATACAGTTTCTGATGGAGCTACAAAGAGATTAATACTGAATATTGAAAGGGCACAGCACGATTAACTGTCCCAAGGAATTTGAGCGCGATGTATTGAATACTTTTTGTGCGACGGGGGTTTAAAAGCTCAAAATTTTACAAAGAATGTATGAACTCATTAGCGCTTTTGCCACACAGAAATTTTGATGTTTTTGGAAGCCAATTTCTCCTCGAATATTACAACCAAAGAGCCAAAAATTTTACCACTTACTAGTAAAATCGCGTCTAGCATGATGCCTTCTATGCGCAAAGTCGTATGTTAATGAGGAAAAATATAAACAATGACGTCAGCAAAGATTCGCTTATTCACGTCTGTCCCACTGACAAAAAAACTGTAGTGGTGTTTCTCACAGCGGGTCAGTGTTTTCAAGCGTTTCAGTATGGACCAGGAAAATGCTATAAAACTGTGGACGTAAAGATTTCAAGGCGAAATCCGATAGGAAATCGAACAATTTCAGTTTTTAATCAGTGGACAAAAACCTTGTACCAGAATAACTTTAATTATTATATATCTAAGTTAGTACGCGCGCTGCGATTGGTCAATTTAGCGGGCCGTAATCTACTGTACGGCCCGCTAAAATTTAAAGCTGTTTTTGTAGCCAAAATGTTTCGTGATTTATCGCCAAGTGTTCTTAACGGTTTAGCAATTAAAAGTTGAAAACTCTCTTTTACTTCTGAAATTTTGTATTAAAAAATGCTAACGACTTAAGAGTCACTTAACGACGATTTCAAATTGAGTCGTTTTGCTTTCGAAGTCCGTCAGAAATTTGAAGCCGTTCCACGTGAATAGGAATCGTTCCCGAGTCCGTCAGGCAAACAGTAGAGATATAATAACTATCTTACTAAACTCGTCTTCTCGGTCCGTACTGTAAGTTACGGATCCTCGTTTTTCCCCTTCGATTTATGGCCCGCGCGCTTCGCGCTTGGGCCATAATTCGATGGGGAAAAAACTCGGTCCGTAACTTACAGTATGGCCCTCGAACTCGGTTAGTAAGACGTATGTGTATCACAGTTCCCTTTGCATTTTCTAAAAACTAATCTAGAGATATAAATAGTTGCCGAAAATAACACCAAAAACAATTTCCTATGGGAACTCGAGGAAATAAATTGAGCGAACACAGGTAAAATTTCATCATCAGTTTTTTATTTCATTTCATCAGTACTTTTAAGTGTTTCAAATGAACTTCAAAATTTGTTTTGGACATTTAATGGTGTTAGATATGATTTCTTATGAGGAGATATTAAAAACAGTCGCACAGAAGTCTGCAATACAATGTAAGTAACCTCGGTACAAAGTTTTTTCCACTTGTTACTCGAACTCGTGGTGGATCCCGTCTTGATGCGTTTTCATTACAAAAACGCTTTACCGAAAAGACAAAGTTTCCAAAAACGCTTTGATATGGATAACGCTAAGCGCGCGAGAACACATACAACCTACGTTTTGTAGCTTCTCCTTCTAAGTGGTTGATAAAGAGCACGATTTCCTCTATTTTCCCGAGCTACATGAAAGCAATGTGTTATATGGCTGAGCTGGTCCACGTTGAAAGGAGAAATCTGATTGGTCCCCTTAGCGGTCCGAATTTAGCAATACGAACCGCTAATATGGACCGCTGGCGAGTTTGTACCGGCCTTTTTCAATTCATTGCACAAAATTAAAAGTTTTTGTTTTTCTTTTAACCTAGTCATGTTTGCAAGAAGATCGCCGTTAAAAGTTCACAAAAGCGACGCAAGAAACGTCAATAAATGCTTGTCTTTCACGTGCGTGTTTACCGAAAATGGATCGCGGAGACATATCAATTTATCAGCAGATTCGACAAAAGACCCATTATTCATTGCCGGAAATCATTGTAGAAGCAAATCCTCCTATACTATCCTCCTTATCTCCTTCTTATCTATTCTGCTGTACTTTTAACAAAAATGTTCTCACTCTTTTCTCCTCATTAAGCTCCAACGAATATTTCGGTTTTTAACAAAACCTCCAGAAGCCTGTTGATCTGCTGGGATAAGGTACCAAATGACACAGTCCTCGGGTACAGGATACGTCACCGTCTGAACTCAACGTCGGCTTTCCATGTGAACGCAATCACCGGCTTAAGTAACAACAGTTCCAACAGAAGTTCCTATGAGAACAACAGTTCGCTTTTTGTGTGCGAAAACCGAACTTCTGCATTATTAACCAATCTACAAGTTTACACTTACTACTGGGTTGAGGTGATAGCTTTCACCAACGATACCTTTGGAAACTATAGCAGAATTGAAGTGTTTCGCACAGACGAAGGAGGTAAGTGAAAATGATTTACGGCTGTGTATTATTACTTCCAGGTACCATCTTAGGACCGATTTCGACGATATAATACGACGTACGTCTTTAATCTAGCGCGCGCTGTTCACGCAACCCGAGAAATTGGCTGCAAACGTTCATAGTGGTACAATCATGTCAGATACAGAAAAAAAAAAACAAAAAAAAAAAACATAAAATATGGTCTTACGCGGCGATTATAAAACTTGTTTCATAATCCTACGGCAACTGTTTGGGTAATTTTCGTGTTATCTTCGGGCTCATCCGTCTGATCAGACTGATTTAATCACTTGACGCTTGACGGGTTAAGTGTTCAAATCAGAGCTCGTCATAGCCAGTCCAACTCCACAACTTTGTCTCTGACATCATTTTACCACTAACTAATTTTCTCCTTGCTTATTTACTTATAGTCCCAACCAGCCCGCCACTCAACGTAAATGGGACGACAGAAAATTCTACCAGCATCACGTTGTCTTGGGACGCTGTTCCGACTCAGCATCAACGAGGCAAAATAATCGGCTATGTAGTGAAAGTTGTTGAACATGACGGGGTAAATGTGACGCAGTATAATGCCACCAATCGAAGCCTAACTATCGTTGGCCTCAAGAAGTTTACGTTTTACAACATCACGGTGTCAGCAAGAACAAGCAAAGGAATCTCTAAGGACACTACTGTGTTTCGAATACAAACCGCCGAGGATGGTAAGCAAACAGTTATAATTGCTCTGTTTAATAAATACCCGGGGGAACTACAATGTGAAAATGTCTGAGATACTCTCGGGAAAATTTGAATTAAACCCTAAGAGAGATCAGTCTGGGCGTGGCTTTTCCTTACTTTGAGCGAGACGACGATCATCCCCGACCTTTTCCGTGGGAGCACCCCCTCTCCACCCCCCCTCTCCTCCTCCCTGAGACTGAATATCAACTCCAGAAAGAAGATGGAATCTTTCAAACTCGACGAGAGAAATATGGAAGATTTGGTCTGTGGTTGTATCGTTGTAAGTGAGGGTTCTTATAAAGTATGCGTTGCAACGTATGAGAAATTTAAATACGAAACTGAAAACAGGTACGCCATGCGAACATGTGCCTACTGTGACTGCCAGCTGATCTTTTTTTTTCTTGCTTTGAATTTCTTTTCAACTATTTATTTCTAATGAGATCTTTTCGCTGAGGTTTTTCTTATTAGATCAAGCTAACAAATTAAAACCGACTTAGCTTTCAAGTCAGAAAAGATATGTATACCAAGTTATCCTCGATAAACACTTTAAGAGAAATATATTGTCAACCAGAACTTTCCATTATAAGTCTCAAACAGCCATAATGATTATAGTAAAACTACAAAACCTTTATGCGAAGCAGCGTGGCTAAGTGAGTGTTTAAGGGTCCTGGGTTTGAAATCTGGAAGTTCCGTTTGTAAATCATCACTGAATCCTTTCACTGAATTTGTTCTCAACCCAGCTCCTAGTTCGCGTTTTGTAAATAACCAACTGGTCAGTGTCTCGAGGATGCGCCTCGGGGAACATTGAGGGTCTCGCGGAAACAAAAATCACTGTTTCCCTTACGGCCAGTCATTAAGTGTTTTGTTATACCACCCGGCTCAAAAATAGAAAAACCTCGAAAAAATGATCTGCTTGACGCCTACTGTGGGTGTGCCCGCTGTATGAGCGGCAGTCAAACCGTGCTGTCCTGCGAAATGACACGAGAATAGTCGTTTTCTTTGCAGCTAACAAAAATTGAAGACGATCCTAAAATTGCTTTGGCTTCTTCTAATGCTTAACTCCAGTTTTCTGGGTTTGATTTGACGAGGAACAGCATATTTTGTTGTAAATGACACAACTATTTTCGAATTCCTACCTGGCGACAGCGATCGAAGAGCGAGTTGCCGAACGCCCGCGACCCATTTTTGGCGCCAAATTAAAAGCTTGAAGACACAAAATGTTCAAATTTTCCCCTTTGCTATCTGATATATTTTTGCAATTATAAATCCCTTTTCTTGAATAATGAATGCCTTCTATAGTGAGAAACGCTGGCCAACTTCAATGGCTTTTTGACATCAGGCCGATTAGCGCACAAATTTGCCGCTGTTTCAAGGTGCACGACCTGATCACGTGTGAGTCGAAAGTTCAAGTTGTTGTTTCTCTGGGGAGTTAGTGACTTTTTAACCTATGAAACATGAAATGTTCTCCAATCGGAAAACCTTTTTGAGTTGGGAGGTATAACAAAGTTATTTACATGCGTTTAGATGACCTTTTAGAAAAAGTGTCATGGCCAAATCATGTGTGACTCTTAGGAATCGTATTTCTTGTTAATTGTATACAAATTAAGATTTTTCTTACTTTTTTGTGATTTGTTACTAAAGTTTAGCTCAGCAATTGTTATTATAAGTAATTTAGTTGTACATTGTAGGTCAGGCAGGATTGTAGTTGTAATTAGAGTGTCCTTCAGACACTAGGGGCTCGTACTCATTTGGCGAATTTTTGTATTTTGGCAAAAATATTTGTCATCAGTTCCGTTCTAAAAGTGCGCACGGTATTTTTCTTCCTACCAAAATTTTGTCGATCCGTACCAAACTTCAAAGGCGCAGTCGTCCTGCCTCGGAGTGGGACTAATTTTTGTCAAGCGTCAAAACTGTCAGATTTTACAATTTGTAGGCGTTAATCTGACTGAAAATGTCAATGAGGTAAATTTGATCTTGCCTTTTAGAGTCTATACATCCAACGTGATTGACACCTGCGATTATCAAATATTTTGGTGTTTTCAAGTGCATACGCGATTACCAAATTCGAAATTTGCCGATATTTTTGGCAAAGCCAAACAAATCTTGTCAAGCTAGTGCGCACGGCACCTAAAATATAGCTGTTATTATCACTATTGTTATCGTTATTGTTACTGTTATTGCTATAGTTACTGTTTCTGTTACTGCTACTGCTACTGCTACTCTTAGTGCTACTGCTGCTGTTACTGTTACTGTTACTGCTACTGCTACTGCTACTGTTACTGTTACTGCTACTGCTACTGCTACTGTTATTGTTACTGCTACTGCTACTGCTACTGCTACTGCTACTGCTACTGTTACTGTTACTGCTACTGTTACTATTATCGTTACTGCTACTGCTACTGCTACTGGAACTGCAACTGCTACTGCTACTGCTACTGTTACTGCTACTGCTACTGTTACTGTTACTGTTACTGTTACTGTTACTGTTACTGTTACTGTTACTGTTACTGTTACTGTTACTGTTACTGTTACTGTTACTGTTACTGCTACTACTACTGTTACTGTTACTGTTACTGTTACTGCTAATGCAACTGCTACTGCCAGTGCTACTGTTACCGCTACTGCTACTGCTACTGCTACTGTTACTGCTACTGCTACTGCTACTGCTACTG